GCCATTTTTTATGATTAATTATGTTTGGATAAGAATACAAGTTAATTATAAAAGAGTTTATGATTAATTAAGTTTATAAATTTAAATTGTTTATTTTGTTCATTTCTTCACTCCATTATGATGATTTGCCAATTTGTGCCTATAAATAGAGACCTAAAAATCAGAGTTCTAACACCAAAGTTAAGTACCAAAAGTTATATAAGAGTGTAAGAGAGAATGAGTAGTAGAAAATTTGGAGAAGTGAAGAATTTAGAAGTGAAGAAATAAGTTATGATTATAGCAAGAAGGAGGTAATTTACTTATCTTAAAGTTACATGCTTAAGTTCATGTTTTGATAATGAGTTTACATGTTTAGTAGATGATATTAAGTATTTAATAATGTTTTTATATGACTTAGATATTAAAGTTTTATATGAATATAAGCATGCTAGAAAATAAGTTATTTTCAGCTCATATATATGTCATATGTGTTCAGTTATGATGAGATTTTTAAATAGCTATAAAACATCTGGAAATCTATGCTTCCTATGGTTAATTCTTGTGTAAAAAAGGAGTACATAGGATCAAGAATCAAGTCATTTAGTTTAGTATAACTCAAGATATGAATTTTTAAAGTTTATCATGCAAGCTGAATTTGATGTACTTGTTTCCAGCAGCAACTTTAAACTTGAATAAGTCGAGATATATGCATGATAAAATTATGAAATTTTTATGACATGTCTAAATATAAGTTAAGATTATGACTGTTAAGTTTCATAATTTAAAGATGAGAAATGAATAAGTTATGAATATAAGAAAGCATATATGTAAAGATAAGTATATATGCAAGAGTATTCATGAAATGTTTAAGTTGTTAAAATGAGATGATCATGAATAATTCTCATATAAGTGATGAGTAATTTGATGATGTTTTGGTGTAATATGTTGAGTATACAATTTTATAAAAATTGAATTAAGTATGACATATTAACATCATGATTAAATATTATGAGTAAAAGATGATTATGGCTTGAGATTATTTTCACTTTCAATTTAATTAAGTGAAAATTTAGTAGAAGCCAATATCAAAAAATTGGGAGATATGATGTATGATGAATTAAGTATTTGATCAAGTTAAATTAAGATAAGTTATAAATCATGTCGATGATGTTGGTAAAAGAAAGCATGTTTTAAGTTTAATACTCAATCAAGTATAATGTGAAATATAGTTATTTTCACATTTGAGTTATGACATGCTAAGTATAATACCATATTGATGTTTATGAAGACATGATTTCTATAAGGTTAAGTAATTGACCTTAAGTAAAAGAAAAAAAGAGAAGTTAAGTATAAACTTGAGAAAAAGCAAGTTTAATGAATTTCTATAAGATTAGGATAAGTTAATAATCCTAAAATTGTTATTGAGTATACGAGCATAGTACTTGGTATATTTGTTTATATTTGATGTAACTTGCAGATACAGTACCAGTACAGCACTTATCGTTTTCAAATGATTTCAAAGACAAAAAGGTGGGGACCCTGAATGGGTATCACATTGAGTACGATATTGATGTCATATGGGATGAGGAGACCATCAGTTGTCTCAAAGTATATCCTACAGTTTAAGTTTTACGCTTGGGATGAAGGCTTCCAGTTGCCTTATTAGTACATCCTGAGTTCTGATGGAGGCCATTAGGTGCCTTAGAAATATCCATCAGAGTGTGCACATGTATCCGATCAGATATCAGCAAGTTTAAGTTTCAGTACCAGAATAGATTTCTGGTTACCGATCAGATATCGGTTTATGATTATCCATATTCGTTACTCACCCCCATGAGTTTTAGTTTCAGGTAACAGGTCGAAGAGGAGGTGTGAGTGGAGCAGTGTTGGTGTGGATTGTGGACTCAGATGAAGACAAGCTTTGATATGGACATTTATAACAGTTTGTATAATTAACCACATTTTCAAGTGTTTCCGCTATGCACATTAAGTATTGAACTTGCATTTTAATGAATTTTAGATTTTAAGTTTTTACCATTATGAGAAATATGTTTATGGTATTTTAAATGCAAGTTTAAAGGAAATCTGTTTTATTTATGTTTAAAGAAGTATTAGACAAAAGTTTAAGAATAAACGGATTTTCAAGATGATGAGTTTGAGTAGCATCCCGAGTTAGTCGCAAAAGATTTCGAAAGAGTTAAGTATTTTTGAAGTAAAAGTTGCGAAAATTTACTCTGATAAGCGGGGTGTTACAACAACCGTTCGGATAGGGTGTTCATGTCCATCTAGGCTGTGAACAACTATTTTTGTTCGCAAGTAACTGATAGAGTGATCTTCGGTTCGCCCGATGACAACCCACTCTATCTAAGTGCAGAACAACAGAACGTAGAACTTGTTTAATCTAACATGATTCTCATTCATAAAGGGCAAATGTGTAATAACATGCAAAGCCAAGCTTTCAGTACATAACACTAACAGAGGGAACGACTCCTGATCCCTCACCGCCGCCACCGCCGGAAGCTGTTTCTGTCGCAGAGGAGTCCGTCCGCACCACGAAAATTGGCACCGCCTCGAGAAGGGCGTTCGCCGCCCCCGTCGGAGAATAGATGACTAATTTTTTGGCTCCGAAAGCTGCGTCGCCTGACGAACCAGTGTTCTCGCTGGAAGGACCGACGCTATTTACAGATTTTGAAGGCGAAGACATAGTTGAAAAACGAAAAAGGAGTTGAAACCGAAAAAAGGAAAAATGGAAGTTACCGAAGAAAAGTCGCCAGAAAAGATCCAAGAATTTGCTCAAGAAAACTCTCTTGCTTCGAAAACTCGATCGCCCAAAATTGCACAAGTAGAAGAAAACTGAAAAATACTAACTCATATATATAAAAATAACCGTTCAATAAAATCGTGACACGTGCGCAGTCTTTTGAAATTCAAATTTCGAAAAGTTATAACTGTCTAAAATCAATCGCCATGACTATTGAGTGATAGGCTAGGGATTCGCCACACATCGCCCACGTGGGCGCCCATTATAGTGGCGCGTCTTTTGGTATCCAACAACAAAGCTTTTCGGGCACGCCGCGTTAAATGGCCTGTCGTTTCGCTTTACGTCATCAATGCTCAGACGGGTCTGCAGAGAATATTGCCAAGTGTAGGGGAGATGCTGACCTCGTGAGTGAAATGTGAAAATACGACCAGATTATTCGTTCCAGGATGACCACAATAGGGCCTACTCGGACCATATTCCTTAGTGACGACCTCGAAGGAGACGCTAAAGCTCTACTCTGAGCTCGGGGGCCTGTATGTTAATATTCGAGTTGGGTGTAAAAGTCCCAGTTCAAGAACAAGGAACCGGGGGAAGACGTCCTTATATTCCAGACCGGTCTCCAAGTAACTTCAAAAATGCCGGACCTGACTAGGGAGCTAAGTCAACAAGGACGACGAGCAACTTCATCCTCGAGATCGGCACCCTAGCCATCTAGTGGCGAGGCCGAGCTGGGAAGAGGCCGAACAGAGGAATGAGATTATGGAGACTAGGGGGTTAACTAATGGTTGAAGTCCAGCATGAAGTTTTCATCAAGTCGGCCTACGTATAAGTCGAAGATCTGGAGAAAACAGTAAAATCATGCCACTTGCTTGCTAAATGATTGCCGATGGGACGTGCCAGTCTAGTCTGCAGCCCTACAATGTCTAGCCCGGCCAAAAGTCATGTCTGCATTTAATGTGCCCCATACATGCATTTAATGTCTGACAGGTAATCATTGTAAAAACCTCAAATCGCATCCAATCAGTCAGAGCAGCGCCGGTCCGTCCCTCAGAGCCACTGTGCGGTGGGACAGGGTTAATAGTGCGTGAACAGTGCTGAATTTATGAGTACTATAAATAGAATATCTCCGTCATTTATAGGGGGTTGTCGAATCCATCAACTACTACCTTCTCTCTACTTTCTCTCTCTAGAACTCTGTAATAAATTCTTGCAAGTGTAACGGAAGTGCCGACCTCATTATCAGAGACCGACCTCGTAATAGAGTCATAAATCTCAGTTTCTCGTTCTATCTGTTTACTATCATAAGATCTTATTTTAACCGTTGATTGGATCCGTTCATCAACATATTTTTGAAAAACTGAAATGGTTGAGTTATTGATAAATCAAATGATTCTAAACTAATGATTAAATGATGTTTTGAAGATACAAAAAAATATATTTTGGTATATTGTTGGTTACCAAATGAATATGGAATCAGCGTGATTTGTTATTAAAGTTGAAAAATAAGATTCTATTGTAACATAAAATTTCCATAATTGAATTTCCATTTTTATTTCGTAATTAAATTTATAATTTTATCGTGCATATTCAAATAATATTTTCTTAAAACAAAATATATTTCATATACATATTTTTTAAGACATGTTGTATAGTTCATTACCAAGAGAATAAAAATTGTAATGATTCGTAATTAATATAAATAATTATATTTTTATTGCGATAATTATCACAAAATAATTTTCAAAATTGGTACCACTTTATTTATATAGAAATTTGTACTATTAAATGAATTGCACGATTTACTACAAGTATGTATAATTCGATTTNATGATTGACCGCCACGTTTCAAAAATATTTAAAAAAGTTACTAATAAAGGTAAAAATAAAAGTTTTAACCGAAATTTTAGTTGCTATTTTAGGTAAATACAAACCCTTTTTTATATATATGGATATATATTATTATAATCTAATTCCTTCTTGAAAATCAAGCACAACCTAAAAAGTAAAAAAACAATTGGATCTCACTTTGGACATAAAATTTATAAAAAATTCACTAAACCTAAAAATCTCAGAAGAATTTGAATTTATAAGAATCTCAAAATGTTAGGCAAATTCTCACCTTACTTAATTCAAAAATCCCCGTAATTTTTTTTTTTTCGAAACGCTAAAGTCATTAAATTATTAACTACCTAAAATAATTCTTTAATTCTTTTTTTTTTTCACTTTTTAATTAATAGAAAAGGAAAAAATAATAATTAATATGGTGGAGGAGCGGATAAGAGAATTTGTGGCAATGGCGCCAATAATGGCGAAGGCCGGGTTACATCTCCGTCAGCTTCCTTTCCATACTTTCTCTCTGTTTGAAACCCCAAAACTCCTTTCCCATTTTCAATACCCCTCAGTTTTTGTACCCAATCATCATCATCATCATCGTCAGTTTCTCGTGCTCTTCTCCTCATGGAACCTTCATATTTGCAAGTGTTACAAAGCAGACGAATTCAATTTCGGCGCTGAAGATGATGAAACTGAAGATTTTGATGACAGTTTGGAGCAGTGGTTTGATGTCCTCGAGGACTATTTTGACAGCATCTGGATTTTCAAGGTCTCTCTCTGTTTCTCACGCAAATTATGAAAATTATATGTATTTAGTTATGAGTATGATTATGGCATATTTGAGTTAGCATAATATTGCAATTGCAACTGTTGAGTATTCTGTGTGGTTTCCTTGGAAATTGTACAGTAACCTTTTTATGGGTGAATGCTGCAGGAAGACTTTTATTTCAATGGTATCCTTTGGCCAATTTTATTTTCCACCAGATGTTTAGTGATAAGCTCTATGAGTTAAGGTGATTTTACGTTGGATGTTTTTTCACGAACGATGTGGACCAAATTTAGTTTGCTTGCAAATCATGAAGATGAATCAAATATCATCAATCACCTAAAAAGTAGAAATTACTTGTACACATCATCCTGTTTCCCTAGAACTTCCATCCTGGTGATTCTTGAGTAGTTTAATTTGGGAATACTCTGACCCCAGATCCAGCATTTTAAAGTTGATTCAGTTTTCCAAAACAAATTATGCGTGAGGAGTTGTTCTTGTAGTCTAATTAAACTCTTTGATCTATGATATCTTTTTTCTTGAATGTAAATTACGCCTGTTACTACATTTTCATGAAAGTTACTGTTTGAACGAAAATTGGCTTTACACTGGAAAGGTGAAGTATTTGTGCGTGTGCAGGTTTTTGGATCTTTTGGCTGGACACTTCCATTTATTCTATCCTCAATTCTTCTCGCAACTGGTCCAAAAGCTTTCCTAATGGCGTTAGCCCTTCCTATTGGCCAGTCGACTCTCGCATTCGCAGCGCAAATATTACTGAATTTGGGAAAGGCGAAGCCAAATCCCAAGAACAAAACCAATAGACAAAAATCACGTGCTTACAGCTCAAGAAAAGGGAACTTTGAACCAATTGCAGAGTGGATTGACTTTAAAGGGCCACGAAAGAGGAAAAAAAGATATCAAACTCCGATTGCGAAAAATGATGTTTCGGTTGGCAGTAGTAATAGTGGGGCAACCGAGTTCGGGGGATGGGACGAGTTAGATGCAGGGGCTGAGTCCATATTTGGGTCTTCCGAGAAAGTTGGTCAAGAATCAAACGTAATGCGAGGCGGGCATGAAGTAAAAGGTAAAAACGGGAAATTGGGTAAAACTAGTAGTGGCCCTTTATTACTAAGGTTGCTTGTTACCATTTTCCCATTTTTTAAGTTCTTGGACTAGGTTGTTGTAGTCATTTTCTACAGGGGTAAATATCTTGGGTGAAGCAGTACATTCTTCCATTATTAAAGCTACGGACATCTTTTTATTTATATGGCAAGATTGATTCTGCAAAAGTGTTTGCAGGAAACAAATATGTGGTTTATATTTTAGTTTCTGCACATCCCTTTGTTCAGTTTCTCGTCATAGAATGTTTCCTAAAGTCTAAAGACCGTGGTTATAAATCATAGGGTGCTTCTTGTTGAAAAGGTTTTCAAGTTAAATTATAACTTTCACGCCTTGGTTGATTTGCGCCACACTGCAGTTGATGCAGTTTGCTTTGGAGATTACTTGGCAAAATATTTTTAAAAAATACACTAAAAGTCTCTTACGGGTGGCGTTCCCACTTAAATAGTTTCTGTACTACCTTTGGCCTGACCTGGGCACTTGTCTCCTTCGACCAACCGGGCAGCGTCCCTTTTCAATAGGGACTCGCGAGTCTAATCCTCTTCCATGTATTTACCCTGACCTTTCCTCGAACATTCTTCGGCCATACTATTGTTTCCTTCAATAGTTGTTAGAAAACCAAATCATTCGCCCAAATATCGTTAGTTTAACTTGAAAAATCTCTTTAAGATGGGACTAGACTGGCAATATCACGAACCGCCTCTGAATAGAAGCTCGAATGATCTGCAAAATATGCCGGGAGAGGACCGGCGGTAAAATTGACGCTCAAGTTAAAGATCTCGCTCGTAAAACTGTAAACTGGGATGTATTAAATATGTATTACACATTAATTTGTAAAAGAAACTTGAGAACCTCCTTATTGTCTTTGTATCCATGCAAGTAACACGTTGGTAATGCGTTTGTACATTTTCATGTTTAATTAAAAAAAAAAATCATTACTAAGAAAAAGATCTCTCCATATCTCATTTCTTAATATGACATGTGATATGGGATATTATATAGCTGAGGAATAGACCGGTTTGCATCATCGGTCGAGCAAGCTCTAAGTGGAGAAAACCGAATTGGTCGAAGGATGATCGACCAAAAGGGAAGAGATCGAGTAGAATAGCAGAACTGGTCGAGGATCGACCTAGCATTGGGGGGTTCGATAAGATCGAGCACCCAACAGGTGAAGAGCAGTCGAGAGCGTGGCTTGAACGTGAGAAAGCGCGTGGGTGGCGTTAGAAGATCCTAACGGCATGCACAGAGGAATAATCTCCCTCCACTCAGAGGGACACGTGGCGAGAATACATTGGTGCAGAGCAATAGTGGTGATAACCACCTCTGACATTTCTGACACACGCACACTGCGTGTGTACGGACGGGTAGCGCGGGTAGGATAGCTCACCAAAATCCGGGCAGCTCCTAGGGCAGGTATCTCACTCTTATATATATAAGAGTGGGTCTTTTCTTGTAGCCTACGGTTTATCCATTCTCTACTTTGGAAAATTGAACAAACACATACTGACTTAAGCATCGGAGGCTCTTCACCGGAAAACCCCTCCGGTGTGAGAGTTCTGTGCAGGTGCGCGACGTTCTACTGGCGAGGAGAGGGAGGCAAGCCGATTTCAAGCCGGTCAGAGTGTTTTGCGTTACCATTTGGCGTCGTCTGTGGGACTTCGTTCGAAAAGTGGTGTGCTGAGATTTCTTAAGCTTGGTGGCTATGGCAGACGGAATTCCTAGGAGAGATTTGCATGCATCGTTCGACGACGCGTGGACGATGACGAGGCCGTTTGGAGAAGGCCCTCCCCTAGGCTTCTCTGGACCCTCGCGTACACCGGTGACTCCGACGTCTGTTCCCCAAGGTGTAGGAGTCACGCCGGTGCAACCAGAGGCAGACGTGGGCTCAAGCCGGGCCCAGGAGACCCGTACAGCTCAGGGAGCGGCGATCCCAGCGCCGCTGCAACCAGATCTGGCCGTGACGCCGCAGCAAGGAGCGGTGGTGCAGGGAGCAGTACCGCCGCCGATGGAGGAGCCGCGCCCCGACCAGCAGGTGGTGATGACCAGGCAGGAGATGCAGCAGATGGTGGCGAACGCGGCGGCACAAGCGGTTCAGCAAGTCACTCAAAGCCTTTCGCGAGTGGCTGCCGGACTAACGATGGTGGACGAGAACGTGTCTAGCTATGGAGGAGATGGAGCTCTGCGAGATCGGGAGGTGGAAAGACTCGCGGAGCAGGTGAGGCAGATGCAGGCTAAGATGGATGGCCGACCTGCAAGGCGTGCTCGAGGACACCCGTTCTCAAGGGACATATTAGCCGCACCGTTACCTGCGAATTTTTGGGACATGAGTTTGTTGTTCGATGGGACCACTGACCCGTCGAGGCACGTAAGGGCGTTTAAGAATTTTGCTCTGTTACATGGTTATTCTGATTCTGTTAGCTGCAGGGCATTCTTGTCGACCTTAAGAGGAGGCGCGCTCGATTGGTTCCAACAGCTCCCTCATGGATCGATCAAAGACTTTGATGATTTCGCAGAGAAGTTGATAACCCAATACGCGAGTGCTGTGGTGCAGGAGAAAACGTATTTGACGCTGATGGCCATGAGACAGAGGGAGAAAGAGTCGCTGCGCAAGTATGTTGCGTGATATAATCAAACTTGTTTGGAGATCCCCACGGCCGCGGACGAGGAGAAGGCTGGAGGGTTGATAAGGAGTTTGCGAGCAGGGCCCTATCGAACATCTTTAGCCAAAACCCCTGCTCGTACGTATGACGACGTGTTGAAGAGGTGCAAGAAGTATATTAACCTGGAGGAAACGGAGGCGGAGTTTGCTAAGTTGGAGGAATTAGCTAAGCCAGAGCCGAAGAAAGGAAGGGCGACCTCGCCCCGAAGAGTGTCGCCAGGAAGGAGATCGCCCAGGAGAGAGGGGCGTTGCAGGATTGATCGTGGGATCGACCACTGTTTGGAGGGAAGCGGTTTCATAACTTTACGCCGCTGAATGCAAAGATGGGGGAAGTACTGGTGCCTATCGAGAATAAAATCGAGGGCAAGGATGTGACATGGCCTAGGTCGAGGCACAAAGGGCCGACACAGCCTAGATAAAAAAAGTACCGCCGTTTTCATAAAGATTATGGCCATACAACGGAGAAGTGCAGGCATCTCAAAAATGAGATCGAGCGCCTTATCAGAGCAGGGCATCTCAAGGAGTTCGTGTATGAGGACAAGGCAAAGGGGAAGGACAAAGGAAAGTGTCGGGAGGATTTGGTAGAACGGAGTGATAGAGATGATGATGAGGAAGATGAACCTCGAGGAGGGAGAGGCGATCGAGGAGGCAAAAGAAGAAGGGAAGTAGAGATCGAGGAGGACAAGAGGATCATGGCCCAGTGAATAGGGGGACGATCTATATGATTTCGGGAGGTCCAACAGATGGGGACTCGAACAATGCAAGGATGGGGCATGTTCGAGCGATGAAGAGGAAAAGAGAGGAAGTGGGGATTACGGCCCGAATGCCGGAAATAAGTTTTCGGGCAGAAGATGCTGAAGGAGTGGTGTTGCCTCACAATGATGCGTTGGTGATTACGGCGGAAGTGGTAGGTTTTGATGTGAAGAGGGTGTTCATCGATACTGGGAGTTCGGTGGATGTAATGTTTTATGATTGTTTTGTGCAGATAAACAAGGAGCTTAACCTCGAGTTGAAGCCGGTGACCACAGCCTTTTACGGATTTAATGGGGGCGAGGTGATGCCCATGATAGAGGTGAGCCTATCTGTCACCCTGGGGCAATGAGCGACAAGGAAGGTGAGAATAGTGAGGTTTGTGGTCGGAGCAGAATCATCGTATAACATCATCATGGGAAGGACCAGTTTGAATGCATTCCAGGCGGTCGTGTCGACGTACCATATGACGATCAAATATACAGTGGGTGAAAACGTTGGTGAGGTCTCAGGAGATCAGCTTACCTCGAGGAGTTGTTATCAAACCACGGTGAGCAGCAATAGCAGCTCTCGAGGAAGCAGGTGAAGCTCGAAGAGGGAATGCTGAATTGACCTGGGGGTTCGAGGTCGAGAGAGGAAAAGGAGAAAGCGGATAAAGGGAAGGAGAAGGTGGAGATGCAGCCAGGAGGGGAGATCGCGGATGTTCAGATGGTGGAAGGATGTGAGGAGAGGAAGTTTCGGATGGGAAAGGAGATCGAGAATCCCTTAAGGTCGAGATTGATTGGGTTAATTAGGGAGTTCGCGGATGTTTTTGCATATACGGCTGAAGAGTTAACGGGGATAAAGGCAAAGGTGATCGAACATCGTTTGAATATTGATCTGACGGTGAGGCCGGTGAAACAGAAGAGGAGACATCATGGGGCCGAGATGGAGAAGGTGATCGAGCAGGAGGTTGAGAAGTTGTTGAAGGCGGGACATGTTAAGGAGATCCAGTTCCCCGAATGGTTGTCAAACACGGTGATGGTGTCTAAATCGGAGGGAAAGTGGAGGATGTGCATTGATTTTCGTGACTTAAACAAGGTGTGTCCGAAAGATTTGTATCCGTTACCCAGGATCGACCAATTGGTTAATTCCACCGCGGGGTGTGAATTGCTCAGTCTTATGGATGCATCCCAGGGATACCACCAGATTCTTTTGGCTCGAGAGGATAGGAAGAGGGTGAGTTTTGTTACGAGCAGGGGCACTTATTACTATGTGGTGATGCCTTTTGGTTTGAAGAATGCGGGCGCGACGTATCAACGGTTGGTCGATAAAATTTTCAAGGAGCAGGTGGGAAGGAATATGGAGGTGTACGTTGATGATATGTTGGTAAAGAGTAAGGCGGAGGCCGATCATGTGAATGACTTAAAGGAGACGTTCTTCACTTTGCGGAGGTATGATATGAAACTAAATCTCGCTAAGTGTTCTTTTGGGGTGAAGTCGGGAAAGTTCCTGGGGTATATGGTGACAAAGAAGGGGATTGAGGTCAACCCGGAGAAGGTAAGGGCAGAATGAAACCGCCCACAAAGGTGAAGGAAGTACAGATCTTGACGGGCAGGATTGCGGGGCTGAGCCGTTTCATATCTAAGGTGGCGGAGAAGAGTGGTCCTCTGTTTCGAACACTGAGAAAGAGCTCGAGATTCCAGTGGGCGGAAGAGGCTTAGAGATCATTCGAAGAATTACAGAAGGTGTTAGCCAATCTGCCTCTATTGGCTAAGCCGGTTCCGGGAGAGGATCTAGTGCTATACATATCGATCTGAGAAATGGCTGTAAGCTCGGTTCTATTACGGAAAGAGGGCAAGGTGCAACTTTCAATCTATTAC